TGGCTCGAAACTAAAAATCAAATTTAGTATCGCAAAAATACTTTTTTTAAGTCACTGATAATGAATTAATAACCATCATATGAGAAAACTGTTAATCATGATTTTTGTTTTGATTATAGATTTTCGATAGATTACACAAAAGTGTATATTGTTCAATGATTATCGTGGTTTAAATCTATCATTGTGTATTAGTTGAGAATTATCAGTTAGATATGAGTAGATAATTTCTGAAAATTAAAAGTTTGAAATACAAGAAAAAGCAGTAAAATCTTGTAAAAGATTAAAAAAATTCGTTGATGCACAAAACTCATAAGGAAATAAGACATTATCTAATATCTTAATAATTTAATCGAATCAATTGACGAACGCCTTTCTTTGTTTTTATTATCTATTGTTTTACATAATGTATTGCTTTTTGTTTTGCATGTATCATCTAATTGTGTATCAGAAGTAGAATCTTCTGAACTAGTAAATGATGCTCGATTAAATGTTGATATATTTTGTTTAACAGTCGATTTCATATTAAGATAATGATTAAAATATATCATAATACAGTAACTAATACCAATACATAATGAAATTAATATTAATGATATGAACAGAGATATAAACATTTTATTTCGAATAGGAATATTGTTTTTGGGAGTCGTATTTATCACAAATGAATAAGTGTAAAATGTTATTGTTTTCATATATGTAGTTATATTTTCTGTTGTTTGTTTTATTTGAGTTGTATTGATTATAGGTGAATAATAAATTGATGTTGTTATCTGTGTAGATGCAGTTGTTGTTTTTGTTAATTTTTCTTGATGACGTGTTGTTTTCTTAAAACTCATTCGTAATAAATTCCATGGTAAGAAAAAAAACATTTTGTTTTTGGATTAAAAACAAATTATATAAGAATATGTGAAAAATGGATAAATGTAAATTAGTAAAAAAGAAATTTCATGATTAAACAATTTCGTATAAAATGAAAATGAATCGATTGAAACATGTCATTTATACATTTTAGTTGTTCTAGGTAACAAAAATTTTGTAGATCAGTGTCTTAGTGCGGGAAAAAATCTTGAATAAACTATGGCATTTGTTCGTTTTGTTTTCAAGTATTTTATTCCTAACAGATTATTAATTGTCTATAAAAATGAAGATTGAATTTGAAACACATCACACGTTTGGTATGATGGGAAAAGGCCGAAAGGAAAAATATCGAAAATAAAGGCGCCATAAAACATGTAAGTGATGCGGTATTCCTCTCGGTCTTTTTCCATCCATTCTTCCCATTTCTCCAGTCTAGCATGTCCGATTGAGCTGAAAAGCTTTTCACATATACTATACACTGCTGGGCATGGTTGTCTTTTTTTTGTTTCAAAAAATATTTTTATGTTAATTTTTAGTAGCTCTATTCAAAAAGAGACAGACGTTGTTTTATGGCACGTTCCATACCTTAGATTTTTTATTCGAAGCATAAAAACTAAGATACCAATTCCAAATAGTGTATTGTACGTGTAAAAGATTTTCAAATCCATCTGACACAGCATCTCGGAGAAACGAAAGATGAAAATTGCGACTATTTTTCACCATTGTAATCTCAGTATCTTATAGAGGACAATAGTCAGAAACTCTGAGTCCATGATAACTTTTGCTCTACTTTTCAAGACCTACCTGTCCGGAAAATTTCAAATTTTTTTGGCAAGCTGTTCTCCGGAAACTCTGAAAAGATGGGTGGTAGGGGTGGGGAACATTTTTAACAAATAGCACAAGAAGATGCATATATGCTAGTCAAAAAGTTTGACTCCGCAAGACTCTAATTGCTTTCAATATTGAATAGCTTGGCTGCTTTTATACTGAGCTGTTGGTATAAGAAAAGAGTGTTGATTTGTTTGAGAACGTTAACATCTTCGTGTGATTTTTTTCCAAGACACCTTTATTTATGTTAATATTTCATTACAATAATCTTCAAATGATTTGAAATTTATGGTCACGATTTTATCTTACTAAATTATTTATTTGTGCCAAGCTTTAACTACAATTTGAAAATTGATTATCAAAATACATCTGTGATCTACATAGACTTTTTTCTGAAGAGAAAACAGTGAAAACTAAAATTTTCGAATGTGAAGCCTTGACAAAGTAAACTACTCTTGACTTTTTAAATTTCTCACTAGGTTCTATGAAACGTAAATAGTCGCAGTTTAAAAGCAATATGATACTTCAAAAGGTTTCTTCATAGATTAATTGATTCGAGAAGTTTGTTAATTTGAAGCTTAGTTAAAACGTCTAGCATTTTTATGTATTCAACTTGGTGCATCATGATTAACATTTTTATATAATGTCAAGTATGTAATTCAAAATGTTGTTTTAATCTCCTTATTTTCAATATAAGAAGTTCTTGAATTGTTTTTCATGACAAAAGACTTTGTTGAAAATTTTAATTTGTCTTTTTTTGAAAGTGTTACATCATGAATATTTTTAAAGTCTTTTATAACTAACAGAAATGAGTTGTTTTCAATACACTCTGATAATGTTGATGCATCTGAGTCGTCTGTACTAGTCACAGAGCTTAAATTAGCAATAGTCATGAGATAAATTTTTGCTACTAAATCTTTTGGTAATTGTTTATTTCTAGAATTGGAAATCGTAAGCACTACTGCCGGTAGTGCAAACAAACGTGTGACATGAGAAGAATTCTCTTATTGTAGTTAATGAATTGCCTGGCAATGTTTATTTCATTTAATTAGAAGTTTGTTTTTAAACATTTTATAAACTGAACTTTCTTATTTAATACATTTAGGAGATAATACAGGACAAAGTTAAACTAAGTTGACTGTTATTTCATGAGTAGCATGCAAGTGTTGAGGATAACTGCTTATTATTATTAATTACTAGATTAAAAAAAAGCTTATTAACTTAGGCTCTTTGAAGCTGAAATGTGAAGCTCATATATTGTTTTTAGCCTGATTGAACTAATACAAAATACGTTAAGGGAAAAACATCTATCGTAGACTTTAGTTGTTTTCTAAGAAAATCGGTCACCAGAGTAAGAATCTGTTTTATTTATTTTGAACAAAAAGTTTTTCTTTTTTTAAGAACGCCTTATTTTTTGTTTGTATTATTGCTATTTTTCAATATCGTATTTCGTTTTTCTAAGTTAACATTGTTGTTATTCTAATCATTGACTTAACTGGCAAATAAAAGTTTTGTAAACATGCATTATATTTACAGCAGCAGGTCTTAAGGTGTCCTTCCTAAAATAAAAAAGTCCGTTTTCGTCGGAAAAGTCAAAATAAAGATAAATGCAGGGGCAGATAGCCCGTTATCTGATCTTTTAGATACATTAAGATTCTTTATTTGGCAACTTCTTTTTTTACCAAAACTCTTTATGTTTTGTGTTATTATCTTTTAAAGAAAAACAGTTTTCGAAAACACAACAAATCTTTTTGATTTTTCTTTGTTTACGCGTTTTTATCGCGCATCACATGATTCTCAAAGAGGATTCATTGTAGCCAATAGGATTTTGTTTTGTTTGAAAGAGCATGTCAAGATACAGGACATGACAGAGTCCCTTTTTTTTTTAATCAAGCTCTTACTATTATATAACAGAGTACTTTTGCAATTAGAGCACCACTTTTGAGATATTGAGCTTTTCATCCATGTTTTTCCCTTAAAAAGTAAGAACTTACCAAAATGGGCTTTGTCATGTCCTGCATTCTCACATGCTCTTTCAGACAAAAAACAAATTAAGACTATAGAATCAAGGCTCATCGAGAGTTTCCGGTTGTCAAATGATCTGTATTTGATCTTTGTTTGTTAAATATCTTCCGAAAATATCATTGTATAAGGCTGAAAATTTTACCATAGCCTCTCTATTGCAGCTCCAACATATTCTGAAAGTTTCAGGACCAAGATCAATTTTTAAGGGGAGACCTTAAAGCAATATTATATATTTCAATCAACTCACAAACACTGATATTAATTATTTTCTTAAATCATAATTTGATCAGTTCACGCTTTTCTACGTTGATCATATGACAACTGTGACAAATCAATGTATCACTATCAATCATTGTTGATATCTTGAATATAAATTTTTAATTTGCGCAAAACTCAAAAACTGCACTATTTAAAGCTCTCACAAACTTATTCCAGCCGATCAAAGCTCAGCAACGACTCTGGACAATTTTGAAACAGTCAAATTATTGTCATTTAGGACGCTCAAAGTTTTTTCCCATTGTTAAGGGACTCTATGAAAGGAGGCTGGTAACGTTTATCTTTGATTTCTAAAGTCTGTAATGGAGAGATGAAGGGGTGGAGAGTCGGAAACCTGTGGCTTAAAACTTACACTCACTATTTTCTTCGAAAATATATGTGAGTTCTAGAATATGATTTTATTTATATAATAACACAAATTGCACTCGCTGAGTCTGATGTCGATGATTTAGTTTTTGTATCGAAACTCGATGTAGATGATTGTGAAGTTAAATTTTCTTGTGGCATAATAAAGAACGCTTTATGTGCATTCGAACATCGACGATTATTATAATCTTCATCAGCATTAGATGATAAAGATTTAACAATATCTTTAAGATCGATAATTTCTTTTTGAATTTTTTTAACATCAATATGTTCGGATCCATATTTCGATTGAAGAATATGTAAACTTTGATCAAAATATTGTAAAGCTTCATTTGATTTATTCATAGCTCGATAAAGTCGTGCTAAATCACGTAAACTATATGCAACATCAAGATGATTAGATGATAATGTCGAACGTCGAAGATTAAGTAATTTCATTTGACACATTAATGCACGATCAAACATTCGACATTTCCAATAAAAATTTATCATTGTTGAAAGACATATTTGAAAAATTTCTTCATTTTTATTATGTTCTAAAATTTCTAATGCTTGTTCATAATATTGATGAGCTTCACGAGGATTTTTATCTTCATATAATGTTGCTATTAATATTAATATACGAGCTATACGTAAATGAGATTCATATTCAATACCAAGAATATTTTTTAATATTAATAATTTTTCTTTACATAATTCAATTGCTTTTTCAATTTGATTTTTCTTTTTTAAAATATCTATTATTCTATCAAAATGTAGAATAAGATTTGGATGACTAAGACATAAGTATTGTTCTTCTATTTGAAATTGTTGTTCATAATAATTAAATGCTAAATCTAAATCATTCATTTTTTCATATACATTACCAATATCACCATAACACATAGCAATATTATTATGATTAGATAGTAAACATTGATACATTTTTAATGTACGATTTAAATAATTTAAAGCATTTTGCCAATCTTGTTTATCGTAATAAATAATACCAATAATTCGTATTGTTTTTGCTTTATTTAAATGATCATCTGAATAGGCTATTTCTTGAATTAATAAAGCTTGTTGATAATAATTAAGAGCTTGATTTAAGTTATGTTTATCACGATAGATATTACCAATATTAATTAATGAATTTGCAAGTAATGGATCATCATTTGGAAGAATATCACATTGAATATTATAAACTTTAGTTAGATAAGTAAGAGCAGTATCGTAATCTTTTTTATCTCTATATGCCAAACCCATATTAATCATAGGATTAGTTCGATGAAAACGATTTTCATTTTCTGAACATGAACTTTCATAAATATCTAATGATTGTTGATAATAATTCATAGCAAGATTAAGTTTATTCATATTTTTATAAACAATTCCGAAATTATTTAATGATGAAGCAATATTAATATTATCGTTTGGTATTTGTTTTTGATAAATATCTAAAGCACATTGATAATTCTGTAATGCTAAATTATATTCTCCAATTTCATTATTTATATGTCCTAATTCAATATAAATTTTTGAAATATCTATATCATTATTTGATAATAATTTTAATAATATATGAAAATAATTTTTTGCTTGATTCATTTGACCTAGTTCATTCCATAACAGATGACCAAAATAAATCATTGAACTATGATAATCCATTTCTTTTTGAATCCATTTTAAATATTTATGAATACATTTTTTTTCATTATTACTTGCTATTAGTTTTATATTCCATAAATTATTTATAGAATCATATTCTATAGAATCTATTTTAAGTAAAGAATTTCTGTTGAATAAAAATTCTTTGTCTTGAGATATTGAACTCAATGATGATATATCAGTTAAAATAATTGTTTCAATAGAAAGATCAATATGAATTTCGAAAAGAACATTTATATATGTTGAAAAATTTTCTTGAAATATTGTTAATAATAGATTTTTATTACGTGATGTTGATAAAAAACTATTTATTGAAATTAAACAACCGATATATTTTTTTAATTTTTCAACATATATAAATGTTCTTTTCGAAATTCATATTGATCTTTCTATTGAAACAATTATTTTAACTGATATATCATCATTGAGTTCAATATCTCAAGACAAAGAATTTTTATTCAACAGAAATTCTTTACTTAAAATAGATTCTATAGAATATGATTCTATAAATAATTTATGGAATATAAAANGTTAGCTACAAATGTATCGCAACGTAATGGAAGAAAAGGATTTCCATTTAATTAGTAATAATAGAGCCATCGTGTTTCACATTTTTAATCCCGCAAGGGATTGCGCTAACAGCTTTTTCTACTAGCACAACTGCAAGACGCTCTTTGGTGTCATTATATAACCGTCAATCCAAATAACTAGTTTGTGCAAAAACATCAGTGGAAGTAACGAATATAATAAGAGTGTGTTACGAATGACGAAAAGGTTTTTAATATAAAATTATTTGCTTTCTTCGTACAATTCAAAACACGAATTATCAGAAAAATTTACTTGTTCTCCTCTTATAAGCTTGAAATATTGAAGCACTATTTGGCTAAAGATATTACATTTTTGATAAATATTCATTTAAAACAATTTTGTCAGTATAAGAGTCTTCCATTCGTCCACAGCCACGCCCCATTATATCGTTCTCTAGTAGTATTTAGTGTGTGTTCAGTACAGATTTTATTTTTTTAAATTTTAACAATAGGTATTCAATGTTACGAGATGGTCAATGCAATTAGAGATATCTATAAGCAGCAAAATCATCATACATTTCCTCCACTCTATGGTGATACTGATGAACCATCACATTATATTCAGCCAATTGATATGGCGCATCGAGCGTTGATCCAGAAGCATAATCTTAATGCAAAAAATCTTTTATTAATCAATTTTAATCTAGCGACTGATGGAACAGGACTTCGTCAACATATTTGGAGAAAGATGTGTTTAAAAAAGAATCGAGTTCCATTTGCAACATGTCTGAAAAAATCATCCGGTGTCGATATGTCACATCTTTCGAATATCTATTCACGAAATCGTGAATATTCGTTCTGGTTATCACCACGTGGAAATGGGATCGATTGTCATCGTACATGGGAAGCATTGTATCTCGATGCCATACCAATCGTTTGGAATTCATCATTAAATATTCTCTATGAACATTTACCTGTTGTGATTATTCAAAATTACACAGAAATCACTGAAACGTTTTTACGCGAGAAATTACATGAAATATCAATGAAAAAATATTATCAAATGAATCAAACATATCAATTCGAAAAGTTACGAAATTCTTATTGGCGTCAGTTGATTTTGAGTAAATCAAGACATTCAATGACAAATAACAATATACGACTAAATCGATGTTGGCGAGCTAGAACTTCAACGAGATCTTCTCTATTTTCATTTTTTTCTTAAGAAAGGAAAATGATGAGCGATGTGAATATATGTTCGAACAAAGTAATAAAAGAATGTCCGATCATTCTGGTATTCTTTGTACGTGATTGTTGCATAAAAATATCGTTCGTACAATTTTCGATTGACTAATAAATATCGTCATATTACGACAAAGTGCACTGTCTTGATTTCATGACTTGAAAACTTTCACTATCTTACTCTCATTGATTCAAGATAAATGCACTACTGATATTGAAACTTTGCAAGTATTAGTTGACTTGAAATTTTCGAATTATAATGCATTGAGTTGTTCCGTGAAAAACTCATATTATGATAGTGATCGGTTCAAAGTCTACTGCATACCCTGAGTATTATTTTTCTTAATGAGTCAAGAGCTCTACATAATGTATTCTGAATCCATACTAAACCGGAATTCATGAAATTTGAATTCGATCTCCTGCATGTGCGTGTAACAGCCCGATCTTTTGCAGACCTGATCTATCTGTCTATGAATTTTTCCGACTTGTCTGAACAGCCTGCCTATTCTTATGTTCATGTCAATATCCTAATAATGTTTGAAAAGTATTAAGTATTAGTCTTCATAGAGGGTTAAGAAGAAAAGTTCGGTTAATGTTGAAGAACATTTTGAAGAAATTTGACAGATAAAAATTTCGCTCATGATATCAGAACCAAGACAAGAATGAAGCTCTGTAACTGCTAAAATTATAGTATGAAAAAATCGTTCCATCTGAATTGAATTAGTTTCAATTGAAAACCATGACAAGTAAATAATGAAAAACATAGGAATTTGTATTGATGTTCTTTGCAGAATTGTGATAAATGTGATGATTTATAAGTATCTCCAATATTCATTCTCAAATATTTATATAATTCATCACGTTTAAAACTCTATCCTCGAAATTCCTTCCACTGCATTCGTGTGCTAGTAAAATATTCAACTTATAAGATAGAAATTCGATACATCAATGAAAAAACAATATATATCCAGGTAGACTTAGTTTACACTACTTACTATAGAAAACTATAATAGTTTCCATTATAACATGGATATGTCGGCAGTTTTTTCGATTTTCACGTCTCATAATTCAGGATCGAAGGTTGCTACAAATCATCCAAAACTTCGATATGTTTTAAATTCATTCTCATGAAACTCACAAACAAAAGTTATCAAACACTGTGATTACCGTTTTCTTTTTGACAGTTGTAACGAGTCTTGAATTTAAGATATCATCTCTTCACGCAGCATATTAACCATAGATCGAACAACAAAATCTCACTTTCAGTTTTACACTCCGATACTCATTAGCATATTCAAACACACTCTCGAATTCTACAGTTATGCTTTAATTATCAATCTCATTACATCTAATATTGATAATAGGTAATGAAGATATTTTGTTTTCGTATTGCTCTTATAATCTTCATTCAAATGAATCAGTGAATTGAACAACAATTGTTCGTCGACTTCTGACACAAATTAAATATTGTTATGAGAAAGAAAATATTCACACCTCTTGTTATATCTATTCATTGACGTGGCGAATGTATCTTTGGCAATCTCCCATGTATCCTTCATACAAGAACCCCATGCTTCTATAGTTTGAACTGCATTTGGTAATTCAGTGCTGGTTTTAAAATACGCCAAAGTTCCTGAATCAATAAATCGTTCATTAATTTTTCCAGATGTTTTTTTAGCAAATATTAGCCATTATTTCTTTGTAGCTATGTAAATTCAAGAACTATTTCATGCACTTATATGTGATCTCAGTCTTAGGTTCAGACGAGATGAAGTAATGAATCAAGTAATACGAAGTCAAGTGAGATGTAATGCATCATTATTCATTATATATTCTTTATCGTTCCATAAATGATTAATCATATTCGTTATATAGTAAATCCCATTCACATTCAGCAATCTAGGGGCATCATGTAGATTAGGTCAATACTCATTTTATGGTGGGCGAGTGGGAGCGGATCTTGTATGCACCATCTCGGCAATACTGACCCTCCAATATGAATGTCTCGATGTAAAATGTGTTAACCAAGATCAGAAATAAACAAGTGTTGTTCACGAATAGTAAGTGATAACAGTCGTTCAATAGGCTGAAAGTATCTGCCTCGTTGTAGAGAGATTTTTCTGTCATGTGTCTTGGATCCCGAACGCTTCATTGCATCGAGTCAACTTTAATCATTTCGGTCCAATTACATGATTTTTGGTGGATGAGAATGTGATTCTTTTCCATTGAAAACACTGCTAATTCATTTGAGGAGTGCTTAGCCATACGACGAAATTAACAGCAACAATGATCTGTTTCTTCGTCATAGTAAAGGTACATTCGGTTAAGTTATTCGATATTGCAACTGCATCATTAATATCTATGGTTTTAGAGATCAAAAATAGTTTTCGAAATCAAATCAGAGATAAAAGAGCAGTTGCGGCATTTTTTCCGGAAAAACTGCTTGATTTCATCTGATACTTATGGTTTCTTCTAGTTAGAAAGAACGAATGATATAGATCGGTATAGACTGTCTGAACTTTCGTATAAAATTTTCGAAAATGCAAAAACTGGTAAATTCATGTTCAATTGAAACATGCTAGTTGACAGTTAGTCGAGGAAGCCGTCAGAGAGAGAGAGTGTGTGTGTAAAACAAACGGTAAGATTCATTTCCCGATTCACGGAAAACTCGTCGCGCTCATTATTAGAACTGAACAATTTTTGACTATCGTCTTAGCCCTTGAAAAAATTGATCTGATTCCAACAGGCATTAGATAAACTTTACATGACTAGAATATGGCACAAAAGAATCGAGTAACATACAGCATATGTCTTTAAAAACAGGCGATAACTTAATATGCATCATAAGAGTGTACTATATGCATTGACTAATCCATAATTTTGATCCAGTAGTCAGGTGATAATTCGGAAAAATTTACTTTGCCTTCCTGTTATATGTCTTATTTTATTCCGTTCACTGGCTGAAATAGACATTGCAACATGCTTCTCTTAACATCTAAGCATGGATCATGAGAAATATGAAAAATTTCTTGGTAGACAACAAAAACGACTTCATTATGTTTCACATTTGAAGTCCATAAAGATTATACTGGCAGATTTTTTTTGTTCTGATTTATTTTTTAAGATCATATATGTAACTAACATTCTAGATTAGCTGGATCAGTATTGAAATAGAGATGTTGTGTTGTAAAACCGCCGAGTTCTTCATGTCGTTTTGGTATACATGTTGGGACAGGAACAATAAATGACTAAATTAACAATCAGAGATTCACAGACAAGTAAAAATAGGAAACATCTACCGAAATGGCTGATATCGGTGCCAGTTCAGTGGGTCACGAATAATTAAGATTACCAACAATATCTCATCCGAAGGCACTCAATTGACCCTTGTTATACATGAGAAAGCTCGGAAAAAACTCAGAACAATTCTTGGCCAATCAATTATCGTACCAGTAATGAGTATCTTAAGTTTCAAATGATCATGATGAACGAGAACACATGTGTGAGAGAAAAATATAATCACCCATTGTTTTGAAACAGCCACCTTTAACCCATTTTGTTTTGCTAGTATCCTTTTCCCACAAAGGTACTTCAATGGAATCTTTCATTGGATTCGTTCCGTTCTGAAGAAAGAGTCCTGTTCCCGTTTCTTCATGTTCAAGCTGCGAAAGGGTTCGTCCAATCGTACAGAATAAAGCTGAAACCGTAATATCAACAATGAATACAAAGAAGAAGAAGAAGAAACCATGAACTAGGTTCAATGAAATAAGCAGTCAACGTATACATATCCATGCCATTGATTATCTCCCTGTTGAACATTTTTTTGATTGTGAAACGAATAATAATTGCCTTTGATGCTTGATGGAGGAAACTTCATATGAGTAGAATTCTGTGAAGAAAGAAAGAAACAAGACTACTCACAGCAATTTGAATACCAGCGATAGTTCCTTGTTTGTCGAATATAAGAATAGCTCCAGTATCATTACCTTTCCAGTAGCGATAACCGATCGTTGTTTTACCTAAATTCGATCAGTAATTATAGTTTCAGAGTCTAATGAAACAGATAATGATTAGTGTTTATAAGTGGAGTTGAGATCGTTCTTATTCGGGCACATCGTATTTTTCTGCTGAATGCTACTGCTTTTTAATTTTTTTCATGTATCAAAAGATCATTTTTAAAGCATTCCAAAGATAATCGACGCTTTCATTTGTTTGAATGGATACATCAACTGAGCTTTAATTAGAAATCAAGAATAAAATACATTTCATTTGTATCATTAATGTTCAACAGATTGAATGCTGAAATATTCATAAGACTTATACCACATGTCAGACAAATTGAAACGATTTTCGTTTATCGTAAAAAAAATATCTCTTATTCAGAACTGTTTTTTATCAATTTTAACTGTTCATGCAGAACGTTTGGACTAGTTTGATAACTAATTGCTCTCGATAATAACAATGCCGTAATATATGAAAAATCAATTTATTTTGAGAACAATTTAAACAAGTGAATATTCAAATCAAACAAAAACATACTTCGTATCGATCTAGTCAATCTTAAACATTCGATAACATTCTTGCTAGAAGAGGAAGACAAATCGATTATACTGCTTCAAAACTTTTGAATGCATTGAAACATATCCATACAATATTTTCTCTCATCTGTATTTCGAATAGTACGTATCTATGAAATTTTGCGCAAGTGTGGGCGAACCAATCCTGGTTCGAATCTACTTCGAATGTTTTACATCGTTGCTATTATTGAGAAAAACCTAATGCAAAATTCCCTTATACAATGTGAACAATTGCTTGAGGCATATTGATTTCGGATACATCAGATAAAAGTATCTTTTTTTATATGTTTACCAATACACTGTTTTTCAAGAGCATCTGGCAAGTGTTTGTATTGTTCTTGTAGTACTTGTTGTACTGTTCGTGGTTGTTTAATGTAGACTTCATCGTTCGATACTAATGGATCAGGACCCCATCTTATCTTCAATGTGTTCCATTCAAGTTTTCGTTTGACTCTATCAGATATGGACAATGATTGCATATCTTAACACAAGATAACAGAGGGAGAAAGAGATTGTGTTGCCAGATATTATCATTTTATCTTACTAGCAATAAAAACCAACAAAAGAACAAGAATACTTTGAACCATCATATGTTATTCGTCAATATCGACTACTACAATAGATTAAAGAGTCATATCATGTATACATACTCTTGCTAACAAACGTATCTTACGATGATGACAATGCGAAAAATACTAATCTATTACTCAGAGATTAAAAAAAGCAAACTAATACTTAATTCCAGTGCAAATAGCGATAGTAAACGATTACAGAACCAGCATAACAAACCAAAATTGTCAGTTTGATGAATCTAAACAACAACAAAGAGCAACGTAAAAGTCTAGGAGTAGTATCAATTATGAGGGTGAAACAAATGATAATTCTTCAATTCTCATAGTGACTTTCTTTCTAGCTCCATTTTCGTCTATTCTAAACAACTTTTTAACGTCTATACGTGCCATCGAATGAAGTGTCAGGAACTAGATCGGCTTTCAAAAAGCAGTGTCCTATAAAGACTTTAAGTTGTTGATCCTAACAATGCACTTTTTCACACCAATTCATTGATTAACGAGCATGAATGGAGTCAAAATGCATTATTTCTTGAAAAGCAAAATCGATCAGTTAGATTCAGAAGAGAATGCACAAGTCTAATATGAAAGACGATCCAAGTAAGCTAGCAACGGGTTAACTGTCGAGTATTTTATCTAGTCATGTCGGATCGACCTGTCTCTAGTCAGAATGTCAAAAAGTCCTCGTCCTGGACGAGGACTTTTTGAGAAAAAGACTAGACAGACCTGATCGAGTTGATGTCCGTTAGAAATTGATTTAAAGTCGAAAAAGGATACCGTCAGGGACATTTCACATCACGCACTATACTGAGATGCAGTGAACTAGTTAGTCTGAATAGGTCCAAATCTAAATATATTATAAAGTGAAATGTTCGAATCGAATCTTTCATACAATGTATTACTTAGCGATCGTTTAGACCATTGAACTATCTGTTCGAGAAACTTATTTCTGTATCATACTAGTCATTAGTATGTATGTTTTAACAAGATTTTACTCGGAATTTTAAAAAAACTTTATAGCGATAAAAATAAATTGTAGTACAAAATTGTTTAAATGAACTTGAATAACACCACTTAAGATTTTTTAAAATTAAGAAGAGTGGTTGAATATTAGAAGAAATGTGTGAGAAAAATTTCAAGTGAAAAAATAAGTTAAGAATCATATATATCAAACAGAAATTAATTTTTTAATATCATTATTTTACTTGATTTCAAATTAAATTAGACCACCTTAAAGATTAAAACTAAATTGCATTTCTGTAATCTGATTTGATTATTGAATTAAGCAAATAATTAGTATGCTGTTCATACTCTGAATGTCTGATTATCCATTGTTTATTATCTAAAAACAATAAACTGAAATTTTTTCTGTGCTTTGCCTTCGTTTTCTTCCCATTATTAGTTAGTCTAAACCAACTAAGGAGACGATTTAATATGTAAAATATGAGTTCCTGAGAAATTTCATTGTGCTTTGAATCAATGATGAGGATAGGTTCTGAAAATTAAAGTAACTATGGTTGTCTGAGAATACGTTTCAGACTGTTCGAGTCGTTCGCTTTTACTTTTTAACAGAATGGACTAGAAATTTCTGCTATTCAAACTGTTTTACTAACAACAGTTTATTGTGAAGGCATGATCTAGCATCTGAAGACGTGTCAGCTATTGACTAGTGTCGAGTCGGATGTCCGAATTCACCTTGTGTCTACTATTTTTATTCTTCTCCTGTTTTATGGACTAGTCTGGATCGGCTAAATGGACAAACATACTAGATATGACGATGTTTAAGGACGCTTCTTGTCAGCATAACTAGTCATGACACATCCGAGAGACGCTTCAGACTAGACCTGATGGGTATTCCGAACTTTTCGAACTAGTCATATCGCCCGTCATCACTCATTTTTTTGTTTACTTGGGCTTTAATTTGTTGTTACTTTTTAATTTATTTCAATCATACATATCGAAGCAAATTGGTGTTCTCCAAGTTCGAATACGAAACCCCTAATTCTCCACGATTATTTTGGATTCTTCTCCTTTACAAGCTGTAAAGTTGTCACTGGAATCGAGTCATTCAAATATAGTAAAGTTGAGACTCCTATATAAATTGTTTCAAGTTGAAATGGTACAATTACATTAGATATCGATTAGGAAACGATTTTTATCCAAAAATAATCCAAAAAATCCCAATACCCATGGTTAGGCTGATTGATTCCGATTACAATTGATCAAAAACCTAGGCAAGCAACAACGTTTTTATCGATTGTTGATGGCCAATGTTATGATCTTTAACTAGTCTTCTTTGACTTTTATCAATTATTATCAATTTCTTTATCAGAATTGAATCGATTATATCTGAAATCAAACGGAAGAATCAACGAAACTTTGATCTTTTTTCATTTAGAGTATAATCAACATACAAAAAAAGAATTTTAATGGTTTTTTAATTGAATTAAAACAAATTCAATGTCTAATCTATGATTTAGACTATTCTAAGTGAAATAAATTTTAACAGACTATTTGCCAAAAATTGGCTTTGATCGGTTATTGTTTGAAAAAACCTATTTTAATCTATTATTGCATTGAATTTAGTCAAAACGTGGCGTATTTTGTCGAGTTTTGTGATTATCATCAAAAAATCAATTTTAGCCTGATTTTTTACTGTTTTTTTTTCAAATGAGTTGTTAAAAAGAAGAAAAAGAGAAAACAAATGCACTCTAAACAGATGGCACAATAAGATTGAGCGATCGAGCGGTGGAAGTTAGTCAATCGTTAACATCACGGCTAAAAGAATTCGACAGTACAGTTTACCTTTGCTCTTATCGCTGAATTCAAAATCACCCTGAAATAGACAACAAATCATCAAAAACAAAACTCGGAACAATTAAATTCAAATCTTTGTACAATTGAAAAATAAATTTCAGTATAATATGAGTTCATTGTGATAGTGTTAAAAAGAGATTATCATTGTTTGTTGATACTGTCCCGTAGGGTTATGTAGGAAAAACTTATATGTATTTCTAATCGTAACAATTGTTAAATCTGGACGATTCAAATGTTTGCTTCAATTGCAAAAAATGTGTCGAAAATACGCTTTTCTGTTGGTTGCATGAAGAGAGAAGCTAATTAATGATATTTTGTTGTGAATAATTTCGTTGTTGTTTTTTCTCTTCAAAGATGAGCTCTAGCGATAAGCCATTGTCATTAAATATGGTCATTTTTGGTTGACAGCGCATTGTCAGTTAGGCATAGAATTGTCAAAGCGAAGTTGGATAAAAAACAACAAGTGGCTGTAGGAAGAAACGAAACAAATTCAGCATACTTAGTAATGAGCCGATGTCAAACCGAAAAGTACTCAAGAAAAAGTTTTTTGTAACAAAAGTCTAAAGTAAATATTTCTATTGTAATTGCGTGATTCAGGCTCGAGGGTGTGACTGTCTGGTATTCTTTCGTTCAGCTACACCCATAATCATACCCTGACCCACACCCTCGATCGATTGGTGTGAACCCTCTCTCTAAGATATACTCTCGAAATTTCGAGTTTCTATAAGATTAATCGAGATAAGTGTTGCGAATAACTTTTGGTCTATTCTCTTTTTTCACGAAAAGTATATCGTTCTTATGTAGAGGCTACGCCTTTTAGAATTGAAAAATATATCTTCTGTACAGAGGCATTTATCTGACTAAAGATCACACCACATATAGTTTTATGTACTCGGTTAAATAAAAGTATGCTTTCTTGCATATAATTATTTACTTGTTTATTTTAGATTATTTTATCGATTAGATTAAATACAAGCATGTTTTCTTTGATTTTTATTATTTATTTTTTTATGTTAGTTCATATTAATGAGTCATTCAATGAAAGTAAATATCTTTTTAATTTGTATTATTGTATTGTTGCTTTAGATCATTTGATCTATTCGATGAAGTAAAATTAAGTACTTTTTAATTTAAATTACTTATTTCTGTATTATGGGTCATCTTATCAATCATGTTCGATAGAAGCAAAATCTATTTTATTGTATTTTACTTATCTAGATTTATTTCAGTAGTAAAAAGCAGTGGGAAGTAATTTAATAAAAAAACCTAGATTATGTTAGCGTTCCTTTTCTTTCTGATAACATTTTTACTGAGAAACCAATAGAAGACGAGCGGAAAAACGCTCGCATTATTTAGACATGGATCATGCTAACGGAACATTATGGTTGCGAGGATTGGATTGTTCAAATCGTCGATTGGATGAGATGATATAACAATAATGTTTGTTTATTAGCGCACACAAATTCTTATCGGTATTCATTTCAATTAATATTTCGTCTTTTCCCAGAAACTATTTCATCGATTTCCACACGATCAACAATAAATCATTAATATGATTTGAAGAAATTCTTTTCCGATAGATACGAATATTTTCATGAATAATCTGCATAACCTCAAAATGGCATAGTTGCTTACATCGATTAATTCGCCCGTCGCTCTTATTATGTGAATCTGAAAAGAATTTTATACATAAACAGTTACCAAAAGTACTCCCGCTGATACTGTTGGGATTGATAAAAAGATTAAAAATATCAAAAAATGTCGACTATGGAATATAAGCAATTAATTGCCGGAACTTTCAAAGTGATCGATGCCAAGTCTAAATTTTAGCATCGGAATTCGACTTCTCCGTCGTGACTAGCATCTTTCTACATGAAGTCAATCAAGCTCTGAAAAGTATGGCTCAATAGAAGTATTTGATCTTAGTATTTTACTGAAACGAAATTTAAAAGGAGTATCATTTTGCCACTTTTCAACAATCTCAACTTTTCGCCGATGAATGCATGCTGCTTTTCTTTCTTTTCAAAATATATGAGAGTTTGTGATTCAACAAATGTTGATTTTATATTCATAATTAAATAAAAACAAGTTAT